CCCTCTTCTGTTGCTAAAAGTTGTCTGAGGACCTGACAGAAGGCCTAGAGGAAATCACCTGGGTGCAGTCACCCTCTCCAAACGGACAGATTCTCTGGCAGTGGAGGTTCCACAGAACTGCAGGGGACTGGACCTCCCCATGCCCAGAATGGGGGGCCATGTCTGCTTCTAGAAGAAGAATGGTGTTGCCACATCATTCAGCCAGGGATGGCAAGAAATGCAGTGAGAAAGCATGTTCACCATGCTGCTGGGATCTGTGCGGAACTGGCTTAGTCATAGGGATGCCCCGTGAGAAGTCTGGAGTAGGGCTGGGGATTTAGCTCAGTGGTGCCGCCTGGCAAGCCCAAGGACCGGAGTCTGGAGTTGGGCATGTGTTAGTCAAATTTGTTTTTCCTCGTTTAACAGCCATTACACTGCCGATGATGATACCTCAAGGACCAAAACCCACCTTCACCTGTAGAGCTCATCAAGGAGCCCTGAGGAGGAGTAAGGCTCCCGTGGCCCGGGCCAGGCACGATGAGAGTTCCAGGGTCTCCACCCCTACTCAGCAGGAAGCAGCTAGAAAGGATGGGCAATCGGTCCTTGGCATCTCCTAAAGAGTTTCAGGGACCAGGTCCTGCGGGGGAATAATGTAGTACAATTGGGGCTATGGACCAATCCCTTCCATTCACCTGAACCTGGGCGACACACCACAACCAACCCCGGACCCTCCTGCTAAGGGTTGCTAAGCAGAGGGAGAGATAAGAAAAGCAAAACCCCTCAGCCCGCCCTGGAACACCCCCCCCCAAAAAAAAAACCCAATCGAGGACGCATGCGCGCTGGCCCAGCTCGCATGACCTTTCACCTGGAGCTCGCTGTAGGTTCCTGTTTACAGAGGGCATCTCATATCGTCATAGTAACGGAGGGAATTGTGGGAAAGGACATGCGCAATAGACGCGGCTGACAAGACTCAGTACCCGTCAATCAAGACCCCGCGCGCACACACACACAGTGGGAAGTTCCCCAGAACCGGAGCAACATTTTAAACCCCTGTGTCTCTAGTTCCCCGGCGCTCGGGCCATTTTCCTTTTGCAGGTGAGAGCCAGCTCGCGCTGAGCGTCCTCTCGCCTTAATAAATGTTACTAGTTTTCCTTACCACCCTGTGCCACGACCAGTTCTTTGTTCGTTGTGCACAAGAATCTAGGAACCGGTCCCGCCCGTGCCCATGAGCCATGGCAACGCTGAATACACCTTTGGTCCTTACCCGGTTTTCAGTACTAGGGGCTGATTCAGGGCCTTCCCACTGAGCTACAACACCAGACCTTTTTTATTTATTTTGTGAGCTGGGGTCTCAATAGGTCACGAAGTTGTCTAGGCTGGAGCTTGAACTTGGAATTCCCTTGCCTCAGCCTCCCAGAATCCTGGTATTACAGGTTGGGCCACCACGCTTGGCTTGGAATTTAATATTTCTTCCATTAATTTGTTGGTACATTTTAGGTATACAATCCAGTTACAGTCATCATTGGGATCTTGTACCTTTACATGATGTATCTTGATTCTTATTTTTCCCCATTCCCTTGCCCTCCCTCCACCCTTCCCTATTTACAAAGACTATTTCCATTTTTTTCCTTTTCTCATATTTTTTCTTTTCCCTTCTGTCCTTTCCCCTACCCCTCCCACTTGCCCTACTCCTTTGAATTTAATATTTTAAAAGTGAAAACAGAAGTTCAGATGCCAGGCATGGTGGTACGTCCCTGTAATTCCAACACTCTGGGAGGCCAAGGGTTCCAGGATTGCATGCTCCAGCCCCACCCATGCTGTTTACTGAGACTCTGTCTCAAAATAAAAAATAAAAATGAAGCACTGGAGATATAGTTCAGTGTGAAGACCTAGGGATCAATCCCCAGTACCACACACACACACACACACACACACACAGACACACTCATTGAAATTAATGTATAAGTTTTCCAAAATGTTCATATGAGTACCACTTGAATTCCCTCCCTTACCATGTGCAAGTTTGTGTTTTATTTTTGTTTCTTGGGTTTTTTGCAGGGGAAAAGGGAGCTGATCCAAATTCTGCTTCACTCCTTCTTGGTTCATTCATTCATCACTCTAGGTTCTGCATATGCTGTTTTAGAGGGAATTTTTACATGTGTTAAAAAAAAAGGTGGGTGTGGTGATGAGCGCCTGTAGTCAGTCTCAGCACTCAGGAGGCCGAAGCAGGAGGATTGCTGTGAGTTTGAGGCCAGCCTGGGCTGTATAGTGAGTTCAAGACCAGGATGAACTACATAGTGAGACCCTGTTTAACAAAATTAAAAAAAAAATTTTAGATAAACAAATGTTAAGAATCAGGTATGGTGACCCACGCCTATAATCCCAGCACTCAGGAGGCTGAGGCTGGAGGATTCCAAATTCAAGCCCAGCCTGGGTCACTTAACGAGACTTCCTCTGAAAATCAGAATAAAAGTTTGAGGTGCTAGGGATTTAGCTAAGTGGTGCCACCGCCTGCCTTGAAAGCACAAGGTACTGAGTTCAATCCCCAGTACCCAAAAAATAAAAGGTTGGGCACGTAGTTCTGTGATATAGTGTTTGCCTGGCCTGTGCCGCAATATGGGTTCTGTTGCCAGTACTGAGAAAAAAAAAAGAAGAAAAAAGATAACACAAGGATAAAATAGTCAAGAGATGCGAACAGGCAATTCGCAGAAAGGTAAATCAAATGGCCAGTAGATGAATGAAAATCTTACCAGGAATCTAGAAGATATAAGTTCGAAAATAAGTTACAGGGACTGCAGATGTAGGTCAGTGGTAGAGTGTTTGCCTGGCATATGTGGGGAGCCGGTCTTCTCCAGCACTGCAAAAACAAAAACAAAACAATGAAGAAATGGGGCTGGGGATTTAGCTCAGCGGTTCTGGCACCTGCCTTGCAAGCGCAAGGGCCTGAGTTTGTTCCCTGGTATCAAAAACAAAACAAAACAAAACAAAAAAAAAAGAAGAAGAAGAAGAAGAAGAAAAAAGAAAACATATTCTTTCAGGGCTTCGTGGCACACACCTGTAATCCCGACACTCTGGAGGCTGAGGCAGGAGGATCACCCTGAGTTCAAAGCCAGCCTGGGCTATCTAACAATACATCCCTCTCCAAAGGTCATCTTTTTCACTCTTCGTATTAGCAAAAATTAGGTGTTATATTCCTTGTGGTCTCACAGTTATGTTCGGCCTTACTTGGTTTGCTCTAGGGCATGGCAGGGAGAGAAACACTTCTGGTAGCCCTCTGAAATTCCATCATCCAGTCCCTGAAACAGACTGACAGGGACAGAAACCTGTAAGTGTCCCAGCGCGCAGGGCCCTGCAGGAGGGGTGAACAGGAGCTCCCCTGCCTGGAGGGAGGTCGCCAGCTCGGGCAGGGCGAGGGAGTGATCGCAGGGGCAGAAGTTCCCTCGATGTGCAACCGAGAGTCCAAGGAGGGGCAGTCGGTGGCCAGGTCCGGCAGGACTGCAGGGAGGAGGACGCAGTTCCTCCAGAGAAACTCAGCGGAAGGCCCTCCCTGCCTTGGCCCGGTTGCAGTAATCAGCGAACCAGAGCAGCCTATTTTGATGCGTTATTTCCGGGAGTTTTTCTCAGATGCAAACAAGGTCCTCGCCTGGGCCGTGGCTACCGGGGCGACCAGCTCCCCTTGTTCCATGCCCTGCCCGCCGGATGCCTGCATCCTGGGCTCTGCGTGTGAATTTCCAGACCCTTTCCGCCGCCCGGCTCCAGCCTTCTCCTCCGGATCCTCCCCGACCTCCCCTCCTTAAATGGTGCAGCTCGATTTTCCAAGCCCCTCGCTACCCGCCTTAGCTGGAGTGTTATACTCCTGGTGGCTCTGACACCGTGGGCTCAGGGGAGATTGGGGCCAGTTTTGGGAGCCTTGCTAATAAAACCGCGGAGATGGCTCCTCTCTGCCTTTCCCGTCGTCCCTTAATTTGCAGTTACCTTGCCTAGGCTGTAGCCAGGTTTTACAGTCATGGGTTGATTTTGGCGATAAGGTTAAAGATAAACCTTTTGAAAAGTGAAAATAGAGGGGAGAATGGAAACAAAGCTTTAGTACATAGGGAGGGGAGGGAGCTTGAGGGGGAAAGGGGTAGAATAAAATGTATTTAAAAATAAAAAATATTTAAAAAATAAAAATAAACCATTTTATTTTTCAAAACGAGGAAAAAAGCCCTTAGAGCAGGGTAGGCTTCCACGGGGCGGGGCATCGGGACCCGAGGGGCGGACGCCTGCCTTGCAAGCGCAAGGTCCTGAGTTTGATCCCCATTACCAAAACAAAACAGCACTTAAAAGCGAACTTTTTTCTAACATTTACAGCTAAACATAGGAGCCAAACTCTTATTACACTGAAAATGGAATCATCTTGATATTTTTTGAAGGAGAGAGATCAGCAATGTGTCTCCAGTACCTTCTCCTTATGACTTCTACTTATTCACTTTTTTCAGGCAGATTTGAAACACCCCAAAACAGTTGCTAACCTGACTGTCTTT